GAATTATACAAGTTACACAAATGTACACTGTTTGTTGTTGTTTGTTTGTTTTTCTTGTTGTTTACATACGAAATAAATATATATAAATATATATTATATGGCATATATATGTTTACAATTTGCTTTGCATAGCTATGCATAAATAATAATTTAATACCTTCGAGCAAACGTCGCTGTTCGGCTGCGGCGGCAGCTTCGGCAACAGCGGCATCATGTTGTTGTTGCTGCTGTTGCTGTTGTTGTTGCTGTTGTTCTTGTTGTTGGTGATGGTGGTGTCGATGCTGTTGTTGCTGCTCCGCTGTTTGTTGCGCTTGCGTTGATGTCGAATGATGATGATGATGATGGTGATGATGATGATGCGACTGCGACTGCTGCTGCGACTGCGACTGTGGCTGCTCTTCAAAGCCAGACGGCGTTGGCGAAGCCGGGCCAGATGGGCCACTACTGATAACAGCGCCAATAGCAGCGCCACCCCCACCCCCACCCCCACCAACACCACCACCACCAGCGGCACCGCTGCCGGCGCCGCTGTTGCTATTGCCGCTAATGATGCTGCTGCTGCTGCTGCTGTTGTTGATCATGTGCAAATTTTGATCATATTTTGCAGACATTTTATCGTAACTGTTCATCAAAGGTCTCTGATCGTCCATAGTCATTGCAGCGACACTCATAACTCAATACAACGCTCTAGTTGGTCCTTTGCTTACGTCGATATTCATATGGCATGTACACACTGGAACAAACACACAAAACTCGCTCGCTGCTCACCGCTCACTGCCAGCGGAGCACCTATTTCGCTCTCGCACACGCACACGTTCTATTCGTGTGTGTGCCTACTCACTAATACCAATGCTTAACTATGCTGTAGACGACGCGAGGCAAGCGAAAATTTTTTTGTAATTTTCGTTGCTCGTTTTCAATTGAAAATTTTTCGTACTTTAGGCGTATATTCAACGTTGAATTATTATTTAATTGCTATATTGTTCATTTATATACACTTTATTAATATTTTTATATGGATTTAAACACTTTAATTACGTTTAATTAATAATTTTTCTGAGAGCCGTCGGTATCGGGTAGTTAGCTAAAAACGTATGGTAAGCGTTGCCATATGGTGGGCCAGCCAAATTCAATATGGTGGACAGGCGTACGCGATATAATTCAAATATGAGGTATGGTCACCCAAATCCAAGACTGTCTTTCGATTACCACCTATCGTAGTGCATATTGTTTACGTTTCTCCAAGAAGAAGAGTGTTTTTGTGTCAGCCCTGGTTTATTTTGCAAATTACATAAAAGTCAGCTATCAACGACAAAATGTTGCGACAAATTGCTGGACCGACGTTTGCTAAGTTGCTGCGCGCAACAAGCAGCCCCGCGAATGCATCAACCGTAAATGCCGCATTCGGCGGCTCATTTGGCACCGTCTTGGCACGCCAACAGCAGACCATGCCCGTCGTCGAGTCCGGCACTACTCTACCTAAGAAGGGCTACTCGCCTTTTGGAACCAAGCAGTCTAGCATGGCGGAATGGTCGTTGGCGCGTCTAGATGATCTACTCAATTGGGGACGCAAGGGCTCCATCTGGCCGCTCACCTTCGGCCTGGCCTGCTGCGCCGTGGAAATGATGCACATTGCAGCTCCACGGTATGAAAAGAGCCCATTGCATTCACAAATACAGCTAACAAAAACCATTACAGATATGACATGGATCGRTACGGTGTTGTGTTCCGTGCATCCCCACGTCAAGCTGACGTTATCATAGTAGCTGGCACGTTGACAAACAAAATGGCACCAGCTCTGCGYAAGGTCTACGACCAAATGCCCGAGCCTCGATGGGTCATCTCAATGGGCAGCTGTGCCAACGGCGGTGGCTACTACCACTACTCGTACTCAGTTGTGCGAGGCTGCGATCGCATCATACCTGTTGATATCTATGTGCCTGGCTGCCCACCCACTGCRGAGGCGCTCATGTACGGTGTCCTCCAGCTGCAGAAGAAGGTGAAGCGCATGAAGACGCTGCAGATGTGGTACAGAAAGTAGAGAGATAGTCCACGGTTAAATAAGCGAAAAGTGTTAAATGAATATTGTATGCAAATATAGTCAATAGCAACGATGGTATATCGATAAATGTTTAGTTTAATTCTGATTTGAAAATCAGGTCGGGTCTCATTTAAGGAAGAGGATTGATTAGAATGAATCGAATTTGTGACGTCAGAGAATACGGATACTACCTGTACAAGAAGTATGTAAAAAATACTGCCTATCTAGGGCTGCCAGATCGTTTTATACCCAAATAAATAAATACAGCTGTGCGATGGCCGATCTGCCCGAAAATCTACAAGTTATTAAACTAGAGCCTCCTGGCACACCTGAAAAGGCMAATATTAAGGAGCGCTTGAATTTGCACGTCAAACGGCGCCTGCAGCAGGATCTACCCGTCTCCAGTCCAGAAACTCCACCTGGGGACACAGCCGCAGCTACGAGCAGCAAACGCAACAAAACAACTTTAGGACAGTCGAAAGAAGCGCAAAAACAACGCAAGCCCTATCAAAAGCGAGTTGATAAGGTCAAATCAGATTCCAGTAAATGCAAAAAAGGTGAGTTCAAGCACTAAATTATTTGCCCCTATGCTAAAAACAATAATTGCAGCACAAACGGCAAGCCCGGCAGCTGATTTGGAGGCATACGACGAGCACGGCGATCACGAAGCATCGCCAGAAAGATCAGACACCAAAAATATAAGCCGCGACCGCTATAAAAATGCTGATATACTCAGCCTGGTTTTAAGTACAAAGAAGCGAGCGTTAATGCAAAATCCAGAAGTACAAACGTTTTGGTCCAATATTATGTCAGCCCTGAAAAATTGAACTACACGGATCTGGCAGCACTACTGACATTTGTGGCGCGCATTTCCAGCAAATTTAAATATTCAGAATAGTAATCRCTGTCAGGCTCTAGTCTARCAGTACTCTATTGTAAGTTTTAAATATATACAATTAGTTAGTCATATTTGTGTAATTAACACARGTGTATTACTGACTGCGCATGCTCTCTCACGACTTACCGGTCGCTGCTGCCGCCGACGGTTGACAGCTGCAAAATTTTGCAGAGCCGCTCAGAAGGAAATTTGTCGTTTTTGGGGTTGCAACGTTTTGCGTCGCGTAATCGCAGTGATTTAGCGTCTCTGAATCGCAAAGAAATACAACAATTTGATTACCAATTCCAAGTGTTACACCAAGCAAAGGTAGTTCAATTGTGACAGTAAAACCAGTGTATACTGCGTGTCATATTAAAAATTCGCATGGGACTTCAAGAGGAAATGCAATTGGACCGTATTAGATAATCCGGATTGAGTTTCTGTGTGGCGCGTTTGCTATCGATTTAACTAGTTTTTTTTTTTTTTTTT